TACTTTTGGATTGCCCTAAGTATTTAAATTCTTTTTACTCATATTTTTCAACATTTTATGGATAAACGATTGATTGAACCTTACGTTCAGGCTCAAGTCGTAGCTTTATATCAGTCGGGTCTCAATTTGTCAAAAATATCGAGGCAACTGATGATTTCCAGATGCTGCGTACGCAACGGAATCACCAAATTTAAACAATATGCCAAATTCGACGACATGAAACGATCTGACCGACCAAAAGTCTTTCTGATCGCAACATACGTGAATTCAAGCGACTGGTCCAGGGTGATAATCGATTATGTGCAGTCAAAATTACGACAGACTTAAACATGAGTCTAGCCAAACCAGTGTCCAAGCGTACAGTGCGTTGATATTTGAAGAAACTGTGCTATGAATATGCAGTCAAGATAAAAATAGCAATGGTTGAGTACAAAACACCGAAAAGCTCGTGTGCAATGGAGCATGCGGTACCAGCATTGGACATCTCAAGATTGGCAAAAGGTAATTTTTAGTGATGAATCAACTTTTTATGTTCTAAAACGAAAAAGTCAAGTCAAGATTTGGAGAACAGACGACGAACAGTTTCTACCAGATTACATTCAACAGATGGACATTGGTGATGGTGGCAGGACAGGCATATGGGATGGTATATCAGGTGATAGAACAACGATGGCAAGGATTTTTGAAGGAACTATGAATGGGGCTTTATACTGTGACATTCTTCAGCAAGAATTGAAACAATCTATGGGAAGATTATCGAATAAAACAGTGTACACTTTTCACCAAGATCTGGCGCCATGGCATACATCAAAACTCGTCCATAAAACAATTACAAAAATGAAGTTGAACGTTATGGAATGGCCGGCCAAAAGTCCGGATGTCAATCCAATTGAGATGTTGTGGTCCATCTTGGATAAGAAATTGGCTGCCAAACCTATATATTCAATTATGGAGCATTGTCAACGGCTTGAAGAGTAATAGAAAGAACGGCATCAGCCAGCTTTCATGCTTGAATTTAATTGACTCAATGCCACATAGAATACAAGTGTTTAAAAGCCAAAGGA